CTTTTTAGGCCAATTTTAATTTCGAACACTGGCCTGTGAATTTCAGACCTGAGTTTTAAAAAGGCACCAGAATGTGAAGCCACAATAGAAGCTTTTGAAAGGTGGAGTGATGAGATGAAAAGCCGTGAGAATGATCTCACAGAGGTTGTCTAAACTTCCCGCAGGAAAGGCATTTCAAGTCTAAAGCCTGAGTACTTCAGTGAGGACACTACTGATGGAACAGAAAGAAAAGGCAAAAATAAACAGATCTTTCAAAGCTGGTGACGGCAAGGAACCTGAGTCTGACCATGGCTGTGTGGGGAGAGACACCTGGCTGGAGGTAGCTTGCTCATAAATGGCTTACTAAGGAAGAGTGAGGAGAGGGACGGGAGCATGTAACACAATCTCTCAAAACCCCCAAGTCCTCCAATGGTCAAGGAGCTATCAGCTCAATAATATCAGGCATCACCTCTGATGTTCCTGCATTCTCCAAGGAGGTGCCAGGTAAGGACAGAGTCTGAATGAAATTATATGATTTAGTTCAAACTTCTCCTTGAATCTCTTAACTCATTCCTAAGAACAACAAAAAACTCCACATTATTATATAATCAATCCCTTTTTGGAAATTAATCTAGAAACAATTTTGTTACCAACCAATCAATAAAACTGAGCAAAAACTCTAATTCTCAACACAGACTGTTTAAAATCAAACTGGGAAGAGAGACTTTACCTCATAAGTAGTATCTATTTTATTTGCACATAAAATGCTTTTCTGGTAGATTTTAAATACATTAAAGGTTCCAATAGATTACCATACACGTAGGGGGCTGAAGGCTTACCTCAGTGATGGAAGCCTTTGGTTAAAGGGAGAGAGAAGATTACCATATTGTGAAAACACTAATGATTTGATTTGATTTATTTATGTTTGGTTTTTTTGAGACGGGGTATTACTATGCATTTCAGGCTGGCCTTGAACTCAGTATGTGTCATCCTACCAGTGTCCACCCACCCCCAAACACAGTGAATCTCTTGATTTTAGACAGAGAAAAGTGTGCAGTTCTTCTCAAATTTCATCAAGAAGAAGACATGAATGTGGGCTTCCCATGGAAATTAAAAGAAACCTTAAAATCCCGTCATCCCACATCCTAGAAATCCAAGAACAAAACCTCAAAGGGCCCTAAGGTGTTGTTATGGAGTCTGGGACAAGATAACATGGTTACAATGTAAGTAAGGGTATTTTTAATTCATTCAAAATTTCTTTTTATTTTATACATCCTCTTCTTGATTGAAAAAAAAAGAAGCTGTATGTGGTCTCCTGCAGCAAAAGTCTTTAATTTCATCAGTTTCAGAACCTACTTTCTGCTCCCAACCAAGATGCCAGGGTGATCATCTCCGCCTGTTTACCACAGTCTGGAAGTAGCAATCCTGCCCACAGCCTGCAGGCAGCATCACTGATGTCAGCAGGGAGGACACAGGACATGCAAGGCAGGAGCACCCTGCCAGTCCTCAGTGCTCGCGGTCTTGGACTTCACCTGAGTCGCCTGAGAAGAGCAACTCACTTCCTAGAGCACGCTCTTCCCGGCAGCCCACAGGGTACTCTAAGTAAGAACCACCCTTCAACTCTACTTTTATTTAAAGATAGCACAGACACTGCTGTTCCCCCTCAAAGCCCAGCAAAGCCCAGCGGTCCATTAAGAGGCTTGAGGAGAGAAAAAGCAAGGCATACTTGTTAATTTTTAATGGCTTCAAGTGTCCTGTCTCACACCATGTAGTAAGCATCAACACAAGTTTCAAAGAGCTATTTATAATATCTATATTATATTAACCTAAGTCTTATCATGCAATCCTTTATTTCCCTGTAAGCTGGGTCTTATTAAACACCAAAAAAAATTTTTTTTAAATATTCCTACATTGCACATTTTATCCAGAGAAACCAGTAAGTTTTCAATGCGATTGGAGATGTGTAGCACCATCAGGTAAGTCTTACTTAGCAACTCAGCAGCCTCCCACACACTCCCAACAGCTATTGGAGGTTGTATCTACAGAGAACACCAAAAAAAAAAAAAAAAACAGAGGCCTGGGAAGATTAGTTCTTCTCTGCAAGAGAAAGTACACAGTAAAAGATGATGCCAGGGAACAGGAATTGGAGAGCCTCTACTCCAAGATGCCTGTCTACACCTCCTGACCTACTTCCTGGTCAGCACACTGCATCGGGGCCACGGTGGAGCACTGCGGTAGCCCATCCTGTCCCATGGCGACAGGCTGAGATTTCAAATGTCAGCTCCATTCAAATATGACACTAGCTGATACACTTGAGCTCTTCACACATGAAAAGGCCTTTTCTATAACAAAGATGAACGACACCATATTTACCTCATTGGGTTATGTTTATTTTATTTACTAATGGAAATTTTAAAGTGGTTCATATGCTCTGCTTCTAAGTGGTATCAAATTTACATTTTAAAAAATAGCTTAAAGAAATACACATCCAAAACAGGATATTTCCAACTTTTAATTAAGGTCCAGAATTTCCTAGAGGAAACTAATCAAACTATAAACATAATGAAAGGAGAATTAAAGACAAAATCATAAAATGGGGCCAGGGATTTAGTTCAGTGTTTCCGACGCCTGCCTTGCAAGCGCAAGGTCCTGAATTCAATGGGCACTACCAAAAAAAACAAAAACAAAAACAAAAACAAAAACAAACCGTACAATGAAAGCTGAGATGGTTCACCCCATGTAACCACTTGCAGCAATAAGAAAATAAGAGCCAGAAATAATCTTCTTTTAAAACTGAAAAGCTGTATTACTTATATTTTCCAAATTGCTTCAAAATTCCCAGTAAATCTCAAAATTTGGGCTGAATCAAGCTGTTTTTCTTCTTAAAATTTCATGAATTCTACATAATGTCATTAGATACCTAATAAGATTTAGAAAGTGAGTAGAGAGGCTGGCTTTCTGTATGACAGGAAGCAATAAATCAGAGAGGTCTCAAAGATCAGCGTAGTGAATCCAAAAACTCGATGATCCACAGGCTGCAGCCTAGATGCATTGCCACTTGGAAAGTAGGATAAATAATAATGTGCTATAAAGTTTTATTAAACCATTCTTTGCTTCCCATCAAAATAACTAGGCAATTACAAGCAAAACCGAACACTCAGCTTACCTAACAACACAATACTTTGGTGTTACACTGGTGGCTATATTAACATACAAAACAGAACAATGCAAATTTCTAAAATATGTGACTACTTCATTAAAATGCCACTGTATATTTAAGCCCATTCTACTCTGTAAAATTTACACTTCTGTGGCAAACTAAGTTCTTAGCAGAATGAAATTATTGGTATTCACAATTTCCAAGAGCCAATTTTGAAAATATGTCTATATTACTGCTCCCAGCTTCTGTCTACATATGGAGTAGTCTGACCTCACCTACTGAGAAACAGCTTCCTCCAGAAAACCAGAAGCCAATGGGATCCTGGTGATGTCAGCGCCCAGCCTTCTGGCCAGGAGACCTGCCTCTATGGTTAGCCAATCTTCTCTCTGCTTCCTCCTCTAGCACATATATTTCACCTGCCTCTCTGCATTTCAAGATCCAGTGCTCAGAATGGAATGGCAAACACAATACTAAGAAGGCTCAGATCAAAACAGGCACCAAACATCTCCCTTCAAAGCAACTGTGAAGTCAGTTAATTACCCAGCTGTAAGTCACTGATAAAAAACCCGGAAAGGCAGTACTCCCAATTTATGTTCCCTTATAGTAAGTGGTTCCTTGGTCTCTCATGGGACCAAGAATGGTGGTCCCATGAAACAAAGCACACAGGCTCTCCCACAAGCACGAAGTAACATCTCACTGAGAAGCAACATGCAGAAGCCCTTTAAATACTGCAATTTAAGTTTTAGTGTGTAAACAAAATTCCAAATTCCAGTTACTATGTGCAGTGCAGGAGAGCTGAATATGGAACACATTTATTTGTCTACTCATGCAAATACCTGCTTTATCAGCCCCAAAGATTACAAGTTTCCGGTTCAAACTGCACAGAGCTAGACCAATGACGCACAGGACCCAAGGAAGATGTCCACTGGGTTTGGCCTACACCTAGGCCTTGCTTCCTCCTACCATTGGTTGTAGGTGAGGGATCCGAAGGTCTTGAGAAGGTCTTGGGAATCACTATATGGCTTAATCAAATTTTTGTCCTAATAAAGCATAATAGATCAGCTGATCGATAATTACAGCATTATAGATCTCTGATGAACTACGAGACAGCACTCAAATATCAGATGAAAAAAAGTTTCTAAGTGATAGTCCTAGCTACTGCCCAAATATCAACAAGGGTGTGGCACATTTACGACGAAGGAAAAAACTGTCAATTTGCTCCTGTATGGCGTATGTAAAAACAAGGCTTGTAACCTCAAAATTCCCTTGGAGGTGCCAGAGGAAAAGGGTTATCCAGGGCCTGGACACCGAGGGGATGTGGACAGGATGTCACCGGGGAGGGGCCGTCAGGGCTCGGCTCCCAGAGGATTGAGCACAAGGAAGGACCCATGGGGCGCCCGGAGCGGCAAAAGGCACGACACCCACGTCTGGGGACGAGAAGAGGCGCTCAGGTCTCCCGGGGACCCCAAGGGCGAGGGGCGAGGGGCAAGGGGCGGATATCCCAGGAGCGCCGCAGGAAACGATCTCCAGACTCGAAGGGTGGGTCTAGGAAGCGGCCGGGGCGACGGCCCGGCGGGGGGAGAGGGGACGGAGAATGTGCTCCGGGCACAGGATGACGCACCCACGTCTGGGGACGAGAAGAGGCGCTCAGGTCTCCCGGGGACCCCAAGGGCGAGGGGCGAGGGGCAAGGGGCGGATATCCCAGGAGCGCCGCAGGAAACGATCTCCAGACTCGAAGGGTGGGTCTAGGAAGCGGCCGGGGCGACGGCCCGGCGGGGGGAGAGGGGACGGAGAATGTGCTCCGGGCACAGGATGACGCGGCGGGCCGGCGGCGGGGCCGAGGGCGCGGAGGGTCACTCACCCCACTCGAGGAACTCGGCC